TATTTAGGGTACAGTAGAGGAAACAGGAGAAATTTTGGAGTGTGGTTGGACTCTGCAGAAAAAAAATGAAAATAAGGCAAAAGAAGGTCCTTGATGAAATTGATACTTGGTCCCATTACTTGAAGAGTATAAATAATTCACATGACATTTTGAAAAAGTGAAAAATAAAGGAATAAATCATATTTCCTAACCAATACCCTCTTATATATAAATCTCATTTTTATATTCTCTCCCTATAGCAAAAATTATCATAGGACTTTTCTGTCTGTAAAACACATGTATTTTCTCAGTAAGATTCTGTTCAGTTTTATCTTGCATTTTTAACTTTATAATACTATGTTAAAGTCATGTCAAGTTAACACTCATCCATTCAACAGCATGGTTTGGACTGTACCTATCTAATGAGTATATCCTGAGACCCCAAAAAGAATTTCTAAGTTACCTCATTGGAACCATGGAAGGTGCCGAGTGTGCAAAGGCATATGAGCGTGGATATATATATAAACACGAGTTTGTATGAAAGATCTCTGTACACAGTCAATGTAGGGCTGAATTGGCAGGGGTTCCTTCTTTCATAAAATGAAGAAAAGTTTCATTCTCCCATGTGTCTACCTATCTACACCAGAAGGGCCTTGTGGTCCCAGGGGAGGATTGATTGAGAAGTTCCCAGGAGGCAGAATTCCTGAGGCTTTGGGGTTATAGCTACCCTCCAACACTCCAATATCATTAAAACAAGACCTCATCCTTCACATTCTCTGTAAGTGAACCTGGATAAAAGGTGTTGAGGGGAGGCTATGCCAAGATGATCCAGAGGACCTAAGGGAGATATGCCTTCAATGACAAACTGTGTGTGTTCCTTCCCATTCCTGGGTCCAGACTACTAAGTAGCCTGAAAATGGGGTAGAAGAAATTGCATTCTGCCTTGGGTCAGGGGGCCCATGTGTGAGCCTGTTCTTTGGGATCTTCTCTCCTTTGTCCTGATATGGGTTTTTGGTGGTGTCAGAAATGCAGAGAAGATGAAGTCTGTCCAGAGGAGATTGATGAGTAGGAAAAGAGCTATAATGTGCATATCTGGTTAAGAAAATCTGGATTTCTCAACTACGAACATGAAAATTTTAGGACTCTAGGACAGAATCCACCTACAAATGCTTGAATTATAGGCTAGGAATGAAATTTAGTTTACATAATTTCAGAGGTTTGAAACAAAGACCACAGATGGGGGCCAGTGGGAGTTAATATGTAGTTCAACAGATTTTTGCTAAATCTGAAGAACTGCTAAAAGCTACTTCTGCCAAAAACAGAAAACTATGCCAAAAGGACAGAAGATCAATGAGCTACCTGTCACTGGACCTACTCAGTAATGTCAGAAATTATATGGGGCAATGTCTCACAGGCCTGTGTGAGACATAGGAAGGTAGGTGATATTTAACACCAGGGAAAGGTTTAGGCTGCAAGTCTCTGCTGTTAGTCTTTGATCTTGACTTCTCTGGCTTCCTCAACCTTCCCCTGGCTGGAGGAAGAATACATCAGCTCTCTATACCCTCAGCTGTAGCCAGGCCACTGGCACATCCTGAGCGCAAACCAAGACTGAAAGGGGAGAGGAGGAAAAGAGTAAGTGTGTTCTCTCCTGCTTTCTTTCCTCCTAGGTCTGAGTAAGTTATTGAAAGATTATGTAGGTCCAGGTAGGTTGTTCAAAGAATTATGTTTGAAGAGTTTGCAAGAACATTCCAGAAAAATAGATAAGGAAAAAAGGAAGAGTCAGTGAGTGAGGGGAAGAGATAAAATAATCCTCCTATGTAATCCTGAGAAGTTTCATGCTAGTGCAAAAAATAAACATCCCAAAGCTCTTCCAGAAACAAAAACGTACTTTTTTCTCCATGGATCCTCAGGCCTGAATCTCTAAATCTTGTATTTGGCTCTACCCTCCAAAGGTCACCGCAAGATTCTCCCTGTTTTATTTCATTCTTTCTAGAAGTATATTGTAATCCCTGAAGGAGAAAATCTTCCTGGATATGGTGAGATTTGCGGCTCTGATTCTGGAATGTAAAAACTTTTCAGAGAACAGGATCAGAGGGTGCAATGGACAAAAAATAAAAGACAAAAAAACTGAATGAGGAACGTCGTGTTTAAAAGAGACATTAGGCATTTAACAGCCTGAAGTTGTACAAGCTGTGGATACAAGCAAAGGCAGTAGGGTTGGATCAATTGTGTCAGTTCTGGGCTTAATGTGTCCTATTAGATTGTGCTCTAAGCTCACATGTGAATGTATTCAAAGAGAAGGAGAAAAGAAAAGGCAGAATTCAGTGAACATAGTGCCCAGAAAGTAGTGAATAATCTCTAATAGCCAACTCAAGTGTGTCAATTATGTTCTGTGCATTACTATCTTAAAGGCAGCCTCCATTTCCAGTGTTCCTATTCTCAATAGCCACTCCACCAAGGAAAAGCACAAAACTACTAGACAAGGGTGTTCTCACCTGCTTTCCTTCTAGGCCTGAGTAAAAGAGTTCTAAGTAGAGAACTTAGGAGAAACACAGATTGGAGGATGGCAGATATGAAGTTATGAAAGAGGAAAGGAAATCAGAGCATATAGCTATGGAAATGATTTTGTCATCTCTATTGAATCCTTAAGGGTTTGCCCCTTCAGACCAAAACCAGGAAAACAATGAGACACAACATAAAAGTGAACTAAGGGAAGAATTGGGCCCTATAAACAGTGGAAAGCAGGAGTCAGTTCTAACAGGAAGGAAAGGGACATCCCTGAGTGCTGGAAAATTTCCCTTAGGATTGTGTATGCCTGAGGAGTAAGAATGAGGAAGAAAAACCTGAAAAGATATTCAAAAGGAAAATGCCAACATATGCATTTCTATTAATAGGGCACTGGACACAGACATTTCCATATTTTCAATGGCCTTGGACCTGAAGAAATCATTTAGTCTTTTATCACTTCCATGTTCAAATCATGTTAAACCGCTAAATTTTAATTTGTCTCTGTGAAAGATAAATTGTTACAATAGTCAACTTACACTATGACTTCAGAATATCTTGAGTGCAAATAAAACAGTTTATTTAAAATTTATTTAAAACTTGCCAAAGCCATTCCTAATGTACACAATTATCAATAAGAGAAAGCAGTTGGGAGATTCTCTCAGGTTATTCCACACATCAGGAGGGAGGGCCTGCCTGGCAGACTTGATAGGGAATAAGAGGTTCTGGAGGAGAGAAGACAGGAAACCTGGGAGGGATGGCCTGGCTTATCCTCCCTGGGGGAACAAAAAAACAGCTGAGCAAGGGCAGAAACTGCACTTGGGGACCAGGAAAGACATAACGAAAACCAAAAATACTATTTGAAGTTCTTCCCAACTTTAAGTTTCTGTCAGTATGAAAATAGTGTACAGTTTCTGTGTTCATGGCTTTGTTACAACTTCCTTTCTTGGCATCTTCCCTTCATCCCCAAACTATTGCTTCTCTAACAGATTCAATGTTAAAAATTATTAATTATGTTACAAGAGAAGTTTGTTTCCTTCTTATAGGATTGGTGGGGAAGTACATATCCTGGAATTATTTCTTAGGTCTGAAAAGCTTTAAAAATTAATTCAATCTGATCTTCTGAATTATGTACAACTAGGATTAGAACAATAAGTGGGTCACTACAAAAGTTTTGATACAGACAGTTATGGTCCCTTATTTCACTTCCAAGAAGCACAGGCAATAGCATCTTTTCTGATTTACCCACACAAGTTTCAATTTGTTTGGTTTATTGGTATTACTGGGAGGGGGGTTTTATTACCAACTATCTGTGTGGATTTTATGTTTCTTGACTTTGTATATCTCAAAACTTTCATAATGACCCACATGCCATATCACTTTATTTGCATTATTTTTCACCAACTGATCCTCCATGTTAGAATTAGTTCTTCCCTCCACTTTTGTAGTTATTTGTACGTAACTCTGTTATTATCCATTTATCATTTTTTTTATTACCCATCATCTGTCAGAGAAGCTACTTTTTTCTTTCTTTGAGAATGAGGATAGTTCCTTTTCCAATTTTGTGACCCTATTACCTAACAAAATACTAGTGCAAGAGGTTGAATGATAAGAGCATAACAGCAACATTGAATTACTGTCTGGATGGGATATGTATGGGATACCTTGTTCACTATGAGATGGAAAAGGGAAATGGAAAGGGAATAAAAACTTTAAGGATGAACTTCATCATTCCCATGCTACTACTGTCAGAGGAACCGATTTACCATCTGGTGCAAGGCAAGTATTCCTCCCTTATAGTTATGTTGAATTACTTTTGCTCCTTTTAAATCTATTTATTCCTGAAGTTGGAAATCCTACAAATATGAAGAGCTACCTAATAAATAGAAATAAATCAATTATTTGGTGGGTTTTATACCTATCAAAATTAATGTTTAGATATAATGGAAATTAACTTATTTTTAGTGTATAAATCAAAATCTTTAATTAAACAAAATCAATAAGATTGAAAGGTTCTAATGGGAATCTGGGACATTTATCTGAGTCCATTGTGCCATGCTCCGCTAGCTATTTGTGTGTACTGTAATAGTTGAATCATAGACATGGTAGTCGATGTGAATATAAAAAAGAAAACAAAGAGGAAACATGGATACTAATTCAGAGCCTCGCCTATCACACAAAAGCATTTTCCAAGTTAGTGTCTCCTTTTCACTTTCTGTAAAGTTATGGAAATTCTTTAGAAAATAAACATTAAACAAAACAAATATATATAGATGAATTATACTACCTGAGTTCACCATTCTGTTTAAAGTGACTGGAATACCTCAGTAACATAGCACTGAGGATAACCTGATAAATTCACTTGGCACTAGATAACCTGCTATGATACAGAACTAGTACCTAGAAAAATGAGTATTTTTATCCTTGTGTCTCTACAGGCAGCAGCTAATTTTTAAACCTACTTTTACAGGACACTGAGAGAAAGTTGAAGAAAAATATGACCAAAAAAATTAAAAATGAGAGCACACCAAAATGGGACCATCTCCACTGATGTTTCAAACTTCCTCCTGAACTGTTTTGTCAGATCTCCCGTTTGGCAGCGCTGGCTGTCCCTGCCCCTCAGCCTCCTCTTCCTCCTGGCCATGGGGGCCAACGCCACCCTCCTGATCACCATCCGGCTGGAGGCCGCTCTGCACCAGCCCATGTACTACCTGCTCAGCCTCCTCTCCCTGCTGGACATCGTGCTCTGCCTCACCGTCATCCCCAAGGTCCTGGCCATCTTCTGGTTTGACCTCAGGTCTATCAGCTTCTCTGCCTGTTTCCTCCAGATGTACATCATGAATTGCTTCCAAGCCATGGAATCCTGCACATTCATGGTGATGGCCTATGATCGTTATGTAGCCATCTGCCACCCACTGAGATACCCATCCATCATCACTGACCAATTTGTAGTCAAAGCTGCCATCTTCATTTTGGCCAGGAACATCTTTATGACTGTGCCCATTCCCATTCTCTCAGCACGGCTTTATTACTGTGGGAAAAATGTCATTGAGAACTGCATCTGTGCCAATATGTTTGTCTCCAGGCTTTCCTGTGATGATGTCACTATCAATCGCATTTACCAATTTGCTGCAGGCTGGACTTTGCTAGGATCTGACCTTGTCCTCATCTTCCTCTCCTACATCTTCATCCTGCGAGCTGTGCTGAGACTCAAGGCAGAGGGTGCTGTGGCCAAGGCCCTAAGCACATGTGGCTCCCACTTCATCCTCATCCTCTTCCTCAGCACCATCCTTCTGGTCTTTGTGCTCACCCATGTGGCTAAGAAGCAGGTCTCCCCTGATGTGCCAGTCTTGCTTAATGTCCTCCACCATGTCATCCCTGCAGCCCTCAACCCTATCGTTTATGGGGTGAGAACCCAGGAGATCAAGCAAGGAATCCAGAGGTTACTAAAGAAAGGTTTGTAATAAGGAGAAGTGAATCTCTGAATTTCTAAAATAGGATAATTTTTTTTAATTATTGAGTGAGTAGGCTGAAACTTTTATCTGTAATCTCAAACTTATTGATATTCTTTTCTAAAACTTCAATTTCACTTTGTTTCCTTTTCTTTAAGCCTTTTATTATAAATATCTTTGGCCCTTTCTTTTATATTTCCATGTTTATAATCCTATTTTGTCTAAACAGTGGCATTCCTTGATGCAGGTTCTAAAGTGAGAAATTCATGTTCCTGAGCACACAACTGTTTACATGATATGAATAGTACAGTCTTAAAAATACATTTCAGATATGTTATGTATTATATTGTCTAATGTGTCCTTATTCTCATTTTCAGAGAAGGGACTATATTGGAGAAAAATATAGCAGTCCAAATTTCAGTCCTGAGTGATGGGAGGTTGCTGCTGGTCTGCAGTTAGGTCTTTTTCTTTCGTTCTTCTCTTTATCTGTCTGTGTCTATTCCTTATTCTTCTCTTTTTCTCTGTAAGACAAGGTACACTTTTGTAATATGTGCTACAAGAAGAAATATTGTTTCCTGATTGCTTATACATGTGACAATTATCTATGTGTGCTCTTAGCTATGACAGACTGCTAAATCTTCCTCCTCATTAGGTCTTTGCTTAGGTCACTTATCTTTTTGATCCATATGATAACACATATGATATGTGAACATAACTTCACTAGTAAGTCAATGGATTCTTAGGAGTGTCAAATATTATTCAGTAATGATACTAAAATATAAAATAGCCTAGCTGAACATTATTTTCTCATTTATTTGATTATTCCTAAGTACATCCCATGTTCTGTGAATTCTTTCATTAAAAGATAGTTTAAAAAAATGAATAGCACATTGTTGTTTCTTTGAAGAGCTCAAATTTTGCTGGGAAAGAATACAAATATGAGTACCAGGAGTACATTATTTTTAAGTGGAGAACAATGAAGATTAAATGATATATTTCTCTCCCCATTTCCCTCTCCGATGAAGCAGTTATTCTTTTTTATTCCATTGTCTTTTTTTTCCTTTTTTTTTTTTTATTAAATCATAGCTGTGTACATTAATGCAATCATGGGGTACAATGTGCTAGTTTTACATACAATTTGAAATGCTTTCATCAATCTGGTCAAATAGACTTCACGGCATATTCTTAGTTATTGTGTTAAGACATTTATATTTGACACCTAGTATTTTCACATGTGCCCTTTTATCAGCTATCACTTCAGTAATCAGTTCCTCAGGAAATCATTCCCATAGACTAAGAGCAGGTTAGATAAGCTTATCGTAAAATAGCTCTTTCTTACATCCCAGACATTGTTGACATTCACTTGAGCAATTAGATTAGTGTTAGTCTCCATCACTAGATTATATGACCCACGAGAGCAGGCCCTGGGTTTGATTTTTCTTACCAAGTATCTTGAATTAGTATTAGTACCTGGCACCTCATAGTTACCCAGTGATATTTAAGTGTACTTAAATGGAGAATTGACAGGAATTACAAAGTGTTTAAATATGAGGAATGAGGGAATAGAAAGTAGAGGAAAGCACTGAGGATGACTCCAAGATTGCCTTCCTTGAATAGTGTGTATATAACGTCACTACCTAGAATTAAAGAAACTTGAGAAGAAATGGTTTCAGAGTAGAAACAATCCCTGTGAAACAGAGTGTGTTCAATAAATCTGCTTCAGTTGTATCTTCATAAAACATCTTGTAGAAAGCTGGAGATATATAAAGCACCGGGGAAAAAGTCTGCTAGAAGCACATTTGTGAGAATCACAAGAAGAAAATGTGGTATTTGAAGACAGGTACTTAAATGGATTCATCCTTATGAGGAGCATGGTGCAGTCAAGAGCAAATTATTACTAAAGGTATGAAGAAGGAAGACCCTGAGTGAGCAAATTTCAAGGATTGTTATGAGGCTTAGAAGAAAAAATAATGGAGGTGTGTTTTAAAATCCAAAAGAGATGAGCATTTCACAAATATGAGAAGAATGCTAATAGACCATTTCCTGATTGGAGCTATACCACACTTAAAATCCGTACGTATTTCCGGTTTCTAAATGACAGAAATGCTGGTATATGAGAATTGCAAGAGATTCCACCTCAAGTTCAGAGAAAGCCACAAGTGAGACCATGTGATCTTAGGCAACAGTTACTAAGAGTAAAATGAGATTTGTAAGACTTTCTTTAGCTATAAACCAAAGAGTGTGTGTGTGTGTGTGTGTGTGTGTGTGTGTACATGTGAAAGAGTGTGTGTTTTGGGGACTGGTATTGTGTCTGATGCATCAAAGAATAATTTTTGTTAAATTAGGAATGAATATGAATTTTATTTCAAGGAACAGTTGGTAGCAAATTAATGTCTTACTCTTTATGTAAGAAACACAGAGAATATGTGCATGTGGAGAAAGAAAAACAGTGAGGTGCAAGGTTCAAAATCAGAAAAATAAGTAAAGAGGGAGTAAGTTTCCCAAGACTGAAGGAATAAAGGAGACAAGGAAGGAGAGAGGCACAATACCCTGTGTACTATACATGGTGCTGCACCAGATCTGCTTTTCAGAACCTATGCACATATCACTAGCTATTGAGGATACCAGATGATGAGACGTCACATCTGCACCTCTCCCTGGAATTTCTCTGAGTTCCAAAAAACTGCCTCACACAGAGTCTAGTCTCATCACAAAGTGTGGCCCATGGTAAATAGTGGATAGCATAGGAATCCAGAGAACTTGCTGACTTGTTTCATTCTGTGTCAATTAGAGGGGTTACACTAGTTCCAGAGTTTCCTGTAGAATCAATCAAAACCTCTGGTAAAATCACATAGTGGGGCAGCTTCTCCTCTGACCCAATTCTATCTTATTGTCTTCTTTAGAAATATATGTTCCCAAAGAGCTTCTCAAAAATCCTTCTGCCTACCATTCTATATCTAAGGTGTATTTTTAGGAATTCAATCTAAACCATTGTATATAACAATAGGAAAGACTGTTATTTCCACTTGATTATCAATAGTGAAGAAATTAACGAATGCTGATGCTAGCATAAAAAATCATGTTATTATGGAGATAAATATGACACCACTTTGGCCACAAAGAAATTAAAACCTAGTGTATGATATCTACCAGTAGTTCTCAAATTGAAGTGAGCACCAGAATCACCTTGAGGTTTATTAACATATTATCGGGCCCCTCCTCCAGAGTTTCTGAGTAACAGTTTATAAATGCAAGAAGCTCTATTTATAACAAGTCATCAGGTGTTGTTAATGCTGCTGGTCCAAAAGCATGTTTTGAACTCCATTAATAGCCACTGATGATTAACACAGCAGAGAGATAGCACAGAACTTGGAAAATAACAAAAAGAACACATGTTTCTAAAGTAGCAAAATGAGGATAGGCTTTGTGAAGGATTCTATATCATTTATCTAAGCAAGGTATGATTTTGGTAATGGAAGCTGGAAGGGAACATCTCTTTATGAAAGAAAATTAAAAGAAATATATAGAGAAGAAAGAATGCAGAAAGATTGAAGCTAAGGTTGACCATAGAGTGGAGATGATAATACTGTCAATACAGTTTTTAAATAATGTTTAATAACTTTCAATGCCATTTCATAAAACTGACATTTTTATGAGGATGTGGAACACTATTAAAGTTTTATTCTCATGGACCAGGCCTTGACAAACTTTCTATAAAGGTAGAAAGATTAGATATTTTTAGCTTTGCCAGCCATATGGTCTCAATTACATACTACTCAACTCAGCCATTGTAGAGGACAAGCAGCCCTAGACAATGCAGCAATGAATGGGAATGATTGTTTTCCCATAAAGCAATGGTTCTCAACCTTCCTAATGCTGCGGCCCTTGAATATAGTTCCTGTGGGTAGCGACCCACAAGTTGAGAACCACTGCAATAAAACGTTATTTACAAAACCAAGTGGTAGGCCAGATTTGTCCCGTGGGCCATAGTTTGTGTCCTAAAAAAAGATGTTTTCCTTGATTGTTATAATGAATCTGGTAAGAAAACAATTATTTTATTGTATGTTTAATAAAGAGAAAATGGTATATTTGAGTATAGAAGTATTTTTCATCATTGACAAGAGAATGATTAGACATTTTTTCAATTGTTGAGTTTAATTATGGCAAAATTACTAAGGTCATTATGGGTTAAATGGTTAATTGTGATAATGTTAGTGACTTAATTCAAATTTCTACACCAAAATTAGTTTAAAGCTTGAAGTGAACAATATAATTCTCCAAGATAATATTTCAGAAAATATAATTCTTATAACAAATACAGCCTTTAAATTAAAAATAACAGATATTGGATTGGAAGTTGCATGTCACAAAAGAGGATCTGAAGAATACACAAAATGGTGAAAATACAAAATTAAACAATAATTTTATGCAGTTAGCTGAGTTTTCTCCATTGCATATTTAATTCTTCCACATTTAGGCACTCCATATTCTTCCATATTTCACTGACATATGAAATAATTTAGCTCTGTACTTCAATTTTTCTGCCAACAAAATTCGCTTTATAGGGAACAATCACTAATACAATCAGTACTATTGTGATTTATGATCTCTGTGTATTTTTAATCTTTATAAACAACCATTAAGAAATTAAATATTTAAAGCTAATAATAATTATATTCCACCGTTGGGTGATTATTATCTCATTGGCATGTATGATTGATCCATCTAGAAGCATTAGATCGGAGGAAATACATAAACTGAAATCAAGTATGACAATTTGGATTAATAATGTCAATCAGTTGGAATACACCGGTGAAAATAAACAATAGAAAATGTAAATTAAAATAGAAACAGAAATGTCAAAATCAGAACCAATAGGTCAGGGGTCCTCAAACTTTTTGAAGCATTAGATTGGAGGAAATACATAAACTGAAATCAAGTATGACAATTTCAGAGTAATAATGTCAATCAGTTGGAATGTACCAGTGAAAATAAACAATGGAAAATGTAAA